TCAAATGGTTCCCCCTAAAGCACTTTCACTCAGAAAATACAGGCAGATCCTACTCAAAATATAGATGGAAAAAAACTTCAATTAAGTTTCCAAGGCAGAAAATCTTTATGGAAGTAGATTGCCCAGTCTTCCTTCCGTGGAGTGGCGGGTACATTTGAACTGCCAACCTGCTGGTTAGCAGTCAAATGCCTTAGGCAGTACACCACCAGAGCTCCTTATGTATTTTGGAGAACTTTCAATGTCTGCTAAAGAAGATAAGAAAATGAGTAAGAGACAAACTGCCCCCACAAGGAGCTCATAGTCAGGTAGAGAAAGCAGAAAGGTACTCAAATCTAACAGTAACACAGTGTAGCTGTGATATAATAAAACAGGAATACTGTGCTGAATAGAAGAGGCTGTTTATTTTCCTGGGAAAGGGAAAGCAAGGAAAATTTCAGAGTACAATAGCATTTGAATAGGGCCCTGAAGTAACATTTTTCTAAATGGCAAAATGGGGAAAGAAAATTCAAGAAGGAAAAAACACTATAATTAAAGGCACAAAAGAATGAATGTAATGCATTCAAAACAACACAGTATCTCCATCTACCTGACAACCTTCACAGTGACTCCCTTTCAACCCTCTGGGATCCGCTGCACTTCCCTCATCATCACTAGGCTCCTAATCAACAGTCACTCTTTCAGCCCATCCTCTGCTAAAGACCGTTGAGTCTTTAGAAAGATGTAAGGCTGTCCTTGTCCTCAAACAGTGTATATAAAATCATCCCCACCCCCACCACACACACGAAAATAGGTGTAACATGAACATAACAAACATATAAATAGCTAGAATTGGGCCTATGAAATATTTAAATTTACAACTAGTTAATAGATCATGTTTGCATAAATTCTACATATGGAAATTCTGCTTAACCAACAAGTTGCCATCAAGTCGACTGTGATTCATGGTGACACCATACATGTCAGAAGATAGCCAGGCTCATAAAATTTTCAATGGTTGATTTTTTAGAAGTAATTTGATAGGCATCGCTTCTGAGGTGCTTCTACATGGACTTGAACCACCAACCTTGTAGTAACTTTAGTTAGCAGCTGAGTACATTAACTGTTTATAACACCCACAGACTATAAATTCTGCTCAAGGATCCTCTATTTATAGAGTGTAGAGGGGCCTGGAAAGCTTGCTGTGAAGAGTCAGCAAATGCATTCACTTTTCCCACTTAAAAGATTAGCTTTCAGCTTTAGGCTAGAGACCCCATTGGCTAAGCCTGCAGAGTATGCAACATGGGCAAAGAAGAGATAATAAAATGCAGGCATTTATTTTGTATTTGAACAATAGCATCAGTAGATGGTAGATGTTACCAAATACATATTATATATTTTCAAAATCAGCATTTCTCTTACCGGAGTGATGAGAACAACTTTCCAATGCAGCTTTGCAAAGGCAGAAGAATAATTAGAACTGCCATTCCAGCGAGACATGATATTCCTATCTCCATCCAGAGAAGAACAGTCACTGCAATAGCCTGCAGTGGTCCTGCCCACAGAAAGTGTAAAAATATCGTTACCTTAAAAGAAAAAGACAAAAGAGTTTTTAGGACTGTATAAAAACAAAACCATTAAAAATCCAATACAGAAACAATCTGGTCTATAAGAACAAACTAAAATCTAAACAAAAATTACCACAGCGGGGGTTAAACCTGGCAAAGCAAAGAGCTAAGTGTCTACTACAGGGGAAGCTCTTCAGGAGCATCCAGGGACAGGCTTCAGGTACCTGCTGGGAGAAAAAGCGTGGCCAGCAGTAGTGGAACAAATGTTTTGATTTTGACTATTCCACAGACGAGTTGAAGGTTTCCTAAATGCCACCCCCACCTCCCCTGGGGATTCTCAGCATCCCAGGAAACCTGTATTAGGAGCCTAGCACATTCTCCAGAGAAGAAATGAAGTAGGGATCTTAGTTCATGTTTGACTAATGAATAATTGGATGAGAAGTGCTCTTAGTGCAATAAGGAGGTCCGACCGGTAGCCAGAATAATTTAATACACCCAGGAGATAAATAAGTGTAAGAAAAGGGGGTGATGAGATAGAGGTGAGTAAGGTCATTTCTGTCTAGGAACCATCCATCCAGCATTACTTAACAATGGCTTCCCTATGTATGAGGCACTATACTAGGCACAGGGAAAGCAACAACCAGCTATTAAAACATCTACGGAGTACAGTTCTACTGTGACACATATGAGGTCACCATGAGCCAGAATCAACTCGATGGCAGCTCATTTAGGTTGCTGAGTTACCTGCCAGGAGTTTAAATCTAGAGGAGAAGACAGACAATTTAGCAGGTAGACTGATGCAATGTGCTAAGAGTTAAGAAAGGCCACTCAAGGAGAACTATTAGGTACATTTAACTAAGTTGTGAGAAGATATTGCTGTCAGCCTATTTATTACCAGCCAATTATTGAACTATGTTATAGGAAATACTAGAAGAATAAATGTTTGATCTATAGGACAATGCATATCATTACTCTTAAGTCACACATGAAAAAAGTGAGATTTGCATTAAAAAAAAAAAAATTGTGTTATGTGCTCAAAAGAATTTAGGCCTATGCCCAAAATTGCCACCCAGCATTCTAGTAAGTTAAGATGAAAAAGAAGGGCATAAATTCAAAAAGGATTCCTCTGCCACAACTTACCTGATCAAACTTATTCACATCATTGGACAGCAAATTGACTATCTGGCCTGTGGTGGTCTTCCCCATGGCTGTGTTACTGAGATGAAGTGCCTAAAATAAAAGAGAAACAGAATTCTACTTCCACAGTAATACAAAGTCACCCTTGAAAAATAGCAAAATGATGCATTCTCATGGGGTCTTGTGAAGTCCCTGGCCGGTGCAAACACTTAACACACACTGCTAGTAAATGAAACATTGGAGGTTCAAGACTACCCAGAGGCAACTTGGAAGAGAGGCCTGGTGATCTACTTCTAAAAAATTAGCCAATGAAAGCGCTATGGAGCACTGTTCTACCCTGAAACACACACAGCTGCCATGAGTCAGAACTGAATCAAGGGCAACTATTTGGGGTTGGCTTTTGTTTTGTTTCATGTGATTTAAAGATGATGAAGATAACTTGTTGACCACCACTTGTCTGTCAGTTTATCATACCGTGGGGGCTTGCATGTTGCTGTGATGCTGGAAGCTATGCCACTGGTATTTCAAATACCAGCAGTGTCATCCATAGTGGACAGGTTTCAGTGGAGTTTCCAGACTAAGACTGGGAAGAAGCAGGAGGCCAGCCACTTCTGAAAAAATTGGCCATTGAAAACCTTATGAATAGCAGTGGAATACTGTGTGATATATTACTGGAAAACTTTAGGCACAGCAGTAAAACCCTGTCTGACACAGTGCCAAAAGAGGAGCCCCTCAAGTTGGAAGGCACACAAAATACAACTGGGGAAGAGCTGCCTGTTCAAAGTGAGTTCACTTTAATGATGTGGGTGGAGTAAAGCTTTTTGGACCTCCATATGCTAATGTGGCACCACTAAAAATGGGAAGAAACAGCTGCAAACATTCGTTAATAATCAAAATGTGGAATGTACGAAGTATGAATCCAGGGAAATTGGAAGCTGTCAAAAATAAAATAGAACACATAAAGATCGAACAATATCCTAGGCATTAGTGAGTGCAAGTGGACTGGTATTGGCCATTTTGAATCAGGCAATGATATGGTCTACTATGCTAGGAAGGACAAATTGAAGAGGAATGGCATTGCATTCATCATCAAAAAGAACATTTCAAGATCTATCCTGAAGTAGAATACTGTACATGATAGGATAATATCCATAAACCTACAAGGATGACCTGAGACCAGTTACTACTACTGTTATTCAAATCTAAGCACCAACTACTAAAAAGCCAAAGACAGAAAAACTCAAGCTTTTTACCAACTTCTGTAGTCTGAAATTTGACAAACATGCAATCAAGATGTATTGGTAATTACTGATGACTGGAATGTGAAAGTTGGAAACAAACAAGAAGGATCAGTAGCTGGAAAATATGGTCTTGATGACAGAAATGCCACCAGAGACTGCATGACAGAATTCTGCAAGACCAACAACTTACTCATTACAAATACCTTTTTTAAACAACATAAACAGTGATTATATATGTGGATCTCGCCAGATGGAATAGACAGGAATCAAATTGACTACATCTGTGGAAAGAGGCTATGGAGAAGATCAATTATCGTCAGTTAGAACAAGGCCAGGAGCTGCCTCTGAAACAGACAATTAACTGCTCAAATGCAAGTTCAAGGTGAAGCTGAATAAAACTAAAACAAGTCTATGAGAGCCAAAATATGACCTTGAGTATATCCCACCTGAATTTAGAGATCATCTTAATACTAATGACCAAAGACCAGGCAAGTTGTGGGATGACATCAAAAACATCATACATGAAGATGAAAGCAAGTGGTCATTAAAAAGACAGAAAAGGAAGAAAGGACCAAAATGGATGCCAGAAGAGACTCTGAAACTTGCTCTTGAACAGAGGATACTAAAGCGAATGGAAGAAATGACGAAATGAAAGAGCTGAACAGATTTCAATGGGTGGCTTGAGAAGATAAAGTATTATAATTAAATGTGCAAAGACTGAGAATTAGAAAAACAAAAGGGAAGAGCTTACTTGGCATTTCTCAAGCTGGAAGAACTAAAGAAAAAATTCAAGTTGTTAGTTGCAATATGGAAATAGTCTATGGGCAAAATATACAACAATGCAGGAAGCATCAAAAGACAAAAGAAGGAATACACACAGTCACTATACAAAAAAGAACTGATTGATGTTCAAGCTTTCAGGAGGAAGCATATGATCAAGATCCGATGATATCAAAGGAAGAAGTCCAAGCTACACTGAGGGAACTGGCAAAGAAAAAAAGGACCCAGGAATTGATTGAGTAATTACCCAGTGAGATGTTTCAACAAATGACCACAGCACTGGAGGTACTCACTAATTTATGCCAAGAAATTTGGAAGACAGCTACCTGGCCAAATGACTAGAGGAGATCCACATTTATGCCCATTCCAAAGAAAGGTGATCTGATACAGTGCAGATATTATCAAACAATATCATTAATACCACATGCAAATAAAATTTTGCAGAAGATAATTCAAAAACAGCTGAAACAGTACAGCAATAGGGAACTGTCAGAAATTCAAGCTAGATTCCAAAGAGGACGTGGAATGATACCACTGCTGATGTCAAATGTATCTTTGGCTGAAAGCAAAGAATACCAGAAAGACATTTACCTATGTTTTATTGACTATGCAAAGGCCTTGGACTGTGTGAATCATAACAAATTATGGATAACAGTATGAAGAATGGGAATTCCAGAATACTTAATTGTGCTTACCTGGAACCTGTATCTTGACCAAGAGGCAGTAAGTTCAAACAGAATAAGGGTGTGATAGTTGGGGCGGTGTGTCAACTTGGCTGGATCAAAATTCTGTGTGGTTTAAGCAATTGTGAGGTGGGTTGTTCCCATGATGGGATCAGATGTATATGTTTTGAGCAGCCAATCTGTTGAAAGGGAGTTTCACCCTAGGGGTGTGGTCTGCTTCCAATATATGTATGGACATCCTGGGAAAGGAGACACTCTTCTGTGGATTGGGATCTTGTTGTGCTGCCTACAACTGTCCATGAGCAAACAATTCACCATTTGGCCTGGAGATCTTAGCTTCATCATTCACTACATCAACAGTTGGTACTGCCTGCCAACCTTGAGCTCAACAGCCCCTGCAACTGTGTGAGTCAGGAAAAGCCTCCAGCTTGATGTTTGATCCAAGAACTTGGGACTTGCCAGCTTTATAAGTGTGTGAGCCATTTTCCTGAGATAAATTTCTCTTTCTCTATATGTATATATAAGCTTTACTAGTTTTGCTTCTCTAGACAACCCAGCCTAACACATTTGGTACCAAGAGAGTAGGGTGTTGCTCTTATAGATACCTAAAATGTGGAAACAGGAGCAGAGTGCATCCTTGACCTGAGACCATGGCAGAGAGACCCCAGCATATGGCATGAAAGACAGCAGGAGCAGAGCCAAGAGACCAGCCTGAGAGATGGCAGGAGTAGAGCCCAGAGACCGGCATTAAACAGCAACAGGCTTACCAGCCCACAGAGGAGAAAGTCAGGTCCCACTGGGTAGGTGGCTTCCTGGTGGAGTAAGTTGCCTTCAAGGGTTAATTGGTAAAAGAGACCAGCATAAGATGAAGTAGCAGGTTGGCAGGTCCACGGGGCAAGAAAGCCAAGTGCTTTTTGGGCAGGAAGTTTTCCAGTGGA